AGTTTTTCAAAGAAAACTCAATGGTAAAATGAAAAAAAAATGATAAATTATTATAAACCAATAATATATAATAAAATTACTTTTTAAATAGTTTTTGTCTTTGAATTAATTTATTTTTGGAAATAATTATATTTTTTGATTGTATATTTATAATAAAAATATACTTCGTTATATAGTTTCGATAATGAATAAAAAATGCCGCGGACACGAAAATAATAGAAAGGACACCATATACACATAAAGGACGCCCTTTATAGCGGGAGGACATCCCTAAACCACAAAGGACGTCCTTCGGCCTATATTCCCGTCCTTCGTCCCCATGTCCATCCTTTCTCTTAAGAATTGTAAAAAACTTTATTTAAAAAAACTTTTTATAATGGTATTACAGCATTTGATTAAAATGTTACTTTGTAAATACTAAATTCTCATTAAAATAAACAACAATAATACAACATGTTTTTTTGTAATGTAAATACATGTAATAACACTGATTATAAATTAAATCAAAAAATAATTATTATTGCAATGAACAATTTTAACACAGAATTAAAACTTACATACTTATATCCAATATAATATAAAAATTGATTTCTTGTTGAATAGTGATACAAATGGATAAAACACTTACAAAGATATTATTATACAAATCTATCAATTTTAATATTAAAACAAAGTTGTTATTTTTTTAAGTTTGCTTATTAATAAATTTTTAATATAATACTGGTGATTCCAGAATCGGTTCGGGAACCGTCGTGTTTTGGAATCAAAAGTTTGGGAATATTTTTTTTATGAAGTTCGGGAACTTGTGTGTTCGGGAACTTATTGGTTCGGGAACACACCAATTTTAAGTTTGGGAATCAGGATGTTCCCGAACCGAGGTTAAAAATATTCCCGAATATTTTTTGATTCCGGAATCGGTTCGGGAATTTGATAAAAAAAATATAATTCCCCAAATATTTTTTATTGATTCCTGAAACTTCTGATTCGGGAATCAAAAATATTTCCCAAATGTTTCAAGAAAAGCCGATTCCGGAATCGGTTTCGACTACACTAATTTTGAGAAAAATAAAAATTTGCCAAATTATAATTGTACAGTCGAATTAGGTCTACTTGTGATAGTATTTTTTATGAAAGTGATATGATTTTTATAAAATGTACAACATTTTTGATAAAAATGATGAATTAATTGAGAAGTGATAGTAATTTGTTTGAAAAATTATGAGTATTTTTTATAAAAGTGATAAATAATCGTAAAAAATGATGATTTATGGTAAAAATGATGGGAAATTATATCAAAAGTGATGGATTTTTCTCAGAAATAATGCAATCTATAAGAAAGTGACCAATAATATTTTGAAAAAGTTTATGATTTTTAACACTTGTGACAGATTATTTTATAAATATATAAATGTCGTTAATTACGGAAACTTCCCGTTATTTTAAACAAAAAATAAAATAAACACAAATAAACATAAAATATTACAAAAGATGTGTTTACATTGTTTTTTCTTTAAGTTATTTGAACTACAAAAACAACTTTGATTTAAATAATAATCAAATGTCTCGTTCACTTACATATCTTGATGCAAGAGATCCAATTGTTCGAAGCGATTATATAGAAAACTCTCCACAACTTCTACAAGTTGAAGTTGTGGAATCACGGCGTATTATTCCTTTTATACCACCACAATCTGAAAGAAGAAAAAGAGGATGACCAAAAAAGAATGTAACAAATATTACACAAGTCAAAAGATCATACAATAGAGTATTGCTTTCTGATAAGTTTGAATTAATTAAATTATTTCGAATATATAGAGATACTGTTGAACTGGAATTCTAAAGTACCAAAGTTGGTATTAAGGTTAACACTTAAAATAACTTTTAAATAATTCAGAAATTGGTAGCAAATTTCAAATCGGTGTATGGTCTGGGTAAATTTTGCTTTTGAAATGGTTTTGTGAATATTTAACTTACTAATGTAATAGCCTTAATGGAAAATTGTATAAATGTAGTGTGGTCTTATGTTAATGAAAGAAATTTTTTATGAATGATTGTGTTTATTTTATTTTTTGTTTAAAATAACGGGAAGTTTCCGTAATTAACGACATTTATAAACTGTTTTTCAAAAGTCGGTACCGAAAGGACCCGACTTTTTGAAGTAAATGATTCCAAATATTTTTCATTTTGTTTGACATCGTTTTTTTGCTTATTTTTTTCCCTCTTATTTTTTAAAAAACAAACTTGACTGAACCTTGAATTTAGACCAAGCTAAAAAATTAAATAAAAAATAACAAGGAAAATATCAAATAACTTACTTCTTCAAAAATTTTGCTTGACCATATGGTTGTTTTTGCCGTGAGTAAAACCGACTTTTTCTCTTTTCAAAAGAAAATGTTAATGATCCAACAAATAATAAAAATCTTTCAATTTCATTAACACTTACAACACAAAGAAAAGATTATTGAAAATAAAAATAACCATTTAATATGTGTAGTGTTTCAAAGTTTGTTTTTTTTAAAGAGACAACCATAAAATAACAACAAGTTAGAACGATTTATTGTGTATTTTGAAGTGGGGGAGAGTCGTAATGTGAGAGGTAAAATACGGTTATCTCACCCATTCAAACTACTCGTCCATTACCAAAAGGCAAAAATGCCGATTTTTTGAGAATCTCAACAGTGAAAAAGACTGAATAACAGTCTCAGAAAATCGGACAAGTTTGTTCTAATTTTTTGTTAAAATCCCGAAATTTTAATTGAAATTTATAACTGTATTGGTTTTGAGGGTTAAAAAGTCGGTACTGTTTTTTCTTTTTTTCAAATGGAAATTATAAATGAAAACAACAAAAAAACTTTAAAAAACGGGAATTTATTATAAAAGGGTTTCCACTAATAATTGGTAAAGTACCGACTTTTGGCATACAGTTTATATTTATAAAATAATCTGTCACAAGTGTTAAAAATCATAAACTTTTTCAAAATATTATTGGTCACTTTCTTATAGATTGTATTATTTCTGAGAAAAATCCATCACTTTTGATATAATTTCCCATCATTTTTACCATAAATCATCATTTTTTACGATTATTTATCACTTTTATAAAAAATACTCATAATTTTTCAAACAAATTACTATCACTTCTCAATTAATTCATCATTTTTATCAAAAATGTTGTACATTTTATAAAAATCATATCACTTTCATAAAAAATACTATCACAAGTAGACCTAATTCGACTGTAGTGAAAAAATTATATTTTTTAGTTAACTTAATTTAGATATATCGATTCCCTTATCTGTATAGAAAAATATATTTTAATTTAAACATAATAAAATAATATATTATTTGATATTTTTTTTCAATTGTGACTACTTTATGGGAATTAACAAAAATTTTTTTAAAAAAATTTTTACCATATTTGTAAAATGCCGAAACAAAAAAATGAACAATTTATAATGAATAAAAAACATAAAAACACTTATTTTGAATTATTGAAATTGAAATATGTTATTTTTTATTAAACCACTTTTATGACTTTGTTTGTTTGGGTATTTGATGATTTACATTGTAAGTTGTTTTGTAACTGTATTATTTGATAATTAATTGTTTAATTGATTGTTGTCAATCAAAACAACATTTCATAATTTTATTATTAACATCTTTAAATATACAACAGATGTTGTGTTTAAACCTTGGACTTTTAAAACAATCAATTTTAATATCTTATGTGCATGTACATGTGAGCCTTAAGTCATAACACAAAATTTTTGTAAATTGTTGTCTTAGTCTTAGTGTTATCATTTAAAGTTTAATTTGATTTTACATGTTTACTTACTTAAAATATACCACTTTTAATTTTTTAGGCTGTTTTTAATCAAAACATTGTGATTAACTATGAAACATAATACACCAAGTGTAGTTATTTAATTATTGAAAATAATTATTTAATAAATGATTTTATTTAACTCTATCATAATAGTTGTGGTGTTATAGAAATATTGTGTTTGTTGTTATGTGTTATAATTTGAAAAAAAAAATAAAACTATAGTTAAAAAAACAATTGTTTATAATATCTCGCTTATAAGTGGTTATCAACAAATAGCTTTTGGATAATAATTGTGAAAATCAACTTAGTTACACTATTAAACAATTGTTTATATTTGATTTTTCTTTGTTTTAACAAAATGTCTAACAAATTACACAAAATAATAACCAATATTTGAGAATAATAATGTCATTAACAGTCATCATTCAATGGGAAATTATATTTAACAATTACTTTTGTATTAACAATATTTATATCTGTTATTTATAATTGTTAATTAATTTGAACGTTTAATTGTGTTGATAACTTTGTTATGTGAATAATTGAAAACATTGTTTTCTTATGAAGTTAACAAGTTACAATTCAACTCTTGTTCTTGACAACCTTTGAAATATTTTATTAAACTATTTTATGTTACGTTTTTAACAAAAATAATGGTGTTAAACTTTTTGACGAATAAAAAAGTTATTATATCTTATGTACGCGTGTTTTGAACCAAAATTCAGTATTTAAAATTTTGTAAATGGTAATATTGTTTAAATCTTGGTGTTATCATTTTAAGTTCTAATTTGATGTTACAAGTTTACACATTAAATAGATATTACGTTTTATTAATTGTACTGTTTTTAAATGTAATTATTGTGATCAACAGTGATATCTTTTATACTAACTATTGTTATTAAATTATTGATAATTGATAATCAATAGGTGACTACTTAATTTTTTAAGTTTGTGATGTGGTGTTATTGAAATATAGTCGTAAATAATTGTGTGTTGTAATATAAAAAAAGATAAAACGACAGTTTAAAATAATCAATTGTATATAATGTTTGTTTAAATGTAATTATCAACAAAAAGTAGTTTAATAAAACTTTTTATATTGATAAATTTTGATATGTTGACAAATATCTCTTTTTTTTACCAAGTTAAGTGTCGTTTTTTGTGTGTTAAGTTGCTTTAGTATTTTTGATAATTATAATTATTATAATGTATGGTTATTTTTCTAATAGTAAAATAGTTTTCAAATGGTTAAAAATAATTAAAAGAAATAGTAAATGATATTGAGGTATGTAATTATTTGGCAAATTTTCATGTTTGTAATATTTTGGCAAAGACTTATTAGAGAATTAAAAAAGATATACAAATATGGTTTTTTCTATTATATTTATATTAAAAATATCAATAGTTAAATATTAGTATAATATAATTACATTATAAATTAATTGTTTAAGTATTATAATTGTTAAATAAAACTATAGTTAAATAACAATTGAATTAAATCATTGTGACTTTCATAAATTATTGTTTATTTTTATTAAAACAATAATAAAAATAAAATGCAAATTACTATTTGATGGTTTAAATAAATTGTATTATAAGTATAATTTAAAAAAACTATAAATAACTATAGTAAATGTTATAGATTATATACACTAATAAAAACAATATGTAGTGACAATTCCAGCCAAAAGTAATTAAGAAATTCATTTCAATTTTTAAATAATGTCTACTTAATAATAACATAACTAATTAATTATAATACAATGAAATGATAATGAACTCAAACATATTTTTAAATCAACAATACCAGTTAAAAGAGTCTTTTTGTCCATAATCAAAATAATACACATCTATTTTTCGTAAAGTAAAATGCGAAATTGTTTTTTTATATTGAAAGTTATTTAAATTAAATTGGATTTTAATTCCACAAACAATTTAAATTCAAGAATATATTTTTAAATGAAGGACAAACCAGTTACAGGGCTCCCCAAATTTATCCGCTAAAGGGCGAGTTTAGGTTTTTAGTCGAAAAAAAGTAATAAAAACCAATTTTTTATCAATTTGATCAGAAAAAAAGATGTTTTTGCATGTATAAAATTTCCCGCTATTTTGGTTGTTTTACTTGTATTATGTTTTTTCTTTTTCAAACTTTTTATTGGTTGTATTTAAAAATATGAGTGAATACATACATTTCTTCATTCATAAAAAAAATATTTGTATTGATACAATTATAACATTTTTATCATTAAATATAAATTATGTCAAACAAAAAAAAATATTTTTCCTGATTTCTTAAATGTAAAAAATACATTAAAATTAAAAAAAACAAACCAAACTAAACTGAATAAATAAATGGACAAAACACCCAGACAAAAACGAGATTCAAAAAATCGGCGCATTCAAAACGCAAAAAATAATTTGCATAAATACAAAACGATTACGATTTATAACGGGTTCAAAACAACTTATTATTGTCCCTTTTGTTCCCGTTGTTTTGGAAAAAACTGCAATTTAAAACACTTTGAATCATGTTCCGAATTTAGTATACCAAAATTAAAGGTGTTTGAAGAAGATTTTAAAATAAGACGAGAACTTTATTTGAAAGAGGCTCAAAAGGCAGTGGAAATTTATTTGGTTGAAAATGTACACAAACGTCCTAAAAAGACACATTCAATGTGTTCTATTG